CTAGCAGCAGGGTCCACAGGAACCGCCACAGCAGCTGGGATAGCAGCAGGCCGCAGCGGAGCAACAACCTCCGCCACAGCAGCCGTTGCAGCCGCAGCAGCCACTGCAGCAGCCATTGCAGGGGGAGGTGCAGGAATAGTTACACGAATAGCAAGGAGAGCAGCACATTCTGGTATCGGGATATAGTAGACTGTATAGTCAAATCAGTCGTAGCTAAACCAAATCACGGAAAAGGCAGTGGATGGGGGGAAGATGGCCTATCGATCGCTGGTATCCAAGCAGTCGCTAAAAAAATGTATTAAAAATAAGTATTTTATATAACATTTTACTTAATTTTGTATGCTTACATTCCCGAAAATTAGAGATGTTCAGTGGGCAAAATTAAAATGGGAATGGGCTTGGATGGGAAGGTGACTGAGCCTTTTAGAAATACAAATTTCTAAGGTTACTTTGCCTGTGGTCAAGGCATATATGTATATATTTAGTAGTATGTCTATTCGATAAATATCGATATATAAAAAAAACGATGAAATTCGCTTCAACCGACTATTTTACGAAATCAGAGTCAAGCATATCTTGAAGTAAACACAAGCTTTCAACATATCCCCAGATATTTGATGGTATTTTATTATATGTTAAGCATTTTATTTGGCTACGATGGTTTAATCAAAATATATAATAAGTATATGTAGTCTATAGCACATACAATTAGAGTGAGCTTTAGTCAATAATAGTTCGATCGTTTTCTAAAACAACAAAATACAATTTATTAAAACATTTGTTCTCCGAAATGGGATATACATAAGTTGAAGGTTTGTCGATTTCACAATCTCTAATCTTCTACGTTATATGATGTACCAAGATTTCCTTCTGAAGATAGTTCCGTTCGTCCTAGCAGCAGGGTCCACAGGAACCGCCACAGCAGCTGGGATAGCAGCAGGCCGCAGCGGAGCAACAACCTCCGCCACAGCAGCCGTTACAGCCGCAGCAGCCACTGCAGCAGCCATTGCAGGGGGAGGTGCAGGAATAGCTGCACGAGTAGCAAGAAGAGCAGCACATCCTGATTGACTATATAGTCAAATTAACTACTTCACGGAAAGAGGCACTCGAAGGGGGAAGATGGCTTATCGATTGCTGATCTACTCAGCAGTCGCTAAAAAAAAAAAAAAAAGAAGAAATTGTAATATTCGAAATAAAATGTCATATTATTTTGTATGCTTACATTCCCGACAAATTAGAGATGTTCACTGGACGAGGCTTGAAATGAGAATGTGATTGGTTATAAGGCTACCTGAGTCTCGTTTACATACAAATATCTAAGGCTACTAGGCATGGTTATATACTTATAGATTGTATATTCAATATCGATACAAATCGATGCAAAATACCAAACCAAACAGTCTAGCTTAACTTTCCTTTTAACTTCCATTTATGTCAATTTCAGCGATAATGTATATAATATTTAGTTTTTGTTGCTAATTTTTTTTATGCAAAGGGAGCATGATCTGTAGGCATATATCGTGGCCTCTTCCTCTTTGTAGCATATACTGCAGAAAGCCTCTTCATAAAAATAGCAAATAATTAAGCGATTAAGGTTTCAAAAAAGGTTTATTTTTCTTGCAATCTGAACTTTTCTTTCAAATATGATTAATAAATTTATAGAAAACACAATATTTTCTTCAATTTTCAGACTTGATCCATTTAATTCACATTTATGTAGTACATAAATTTACATTTAGGCCTGCTGCTACTTTCTAGTATTAAATGCAATATAGTTTCTTGATTTCGTTCTGAAGATGGCTCTCCTTTAGCAGCAGGGACCACAGCCACCACAGCAGCCGCCACAGGGGCCACAGCAAGAGTAGCATGGCCCACAGCAGCCGCCGCAGGGCCCACAGCAGGGTCCGCAGGGACCACAGCAGCCACCGCAGGGCCCACAGCAGGGACCGCAGGGTCCACAGCAGCCTCCGCAAGGTCCGCAGCACATGTTGATGGGGGCTGTGGGGTAAAGCCGATAAATTTGAGTGCAAAAACTCTGATCCACAGCCGGAGGCAAGCGATAAGCACTTACTTCTACTTAAGCTTCTTCACAGAAACAGCTACTACGATGTCTTGCAGTTACGACCGCTTAGTGTCTCCCAGAAAACTGTATAGTCGGATATCAAGTCTCCAGAATTCACAACGGTCGACGTAATGCTAATTTTTTTTTACAAAAAAGGGCTCAACCTGAAATTTGAGAAGAAAAAGTTATACTTGATCGAATTAGACTTTTTTTTTATATTTTCATAGAAACTTACATTCCCAAAATATTTACAAGTATTCACACAAAAATTTTTGAGTTGTTTAATGAACAAGCCTCAAAAACTGAATGAGGTTTAATTTTGTTGAGAGTTAATACCAGGCAAAAGTTGGTGAAATGTCAATGTCAGAGACTACTTGGATTGAATTTCGCAGAAGTCGAAGTTTCATTTAAATTCTTTGTTGGAGATGTTCCCCCAAATACACTACTGGCCAAATATATTGAGCATTAAAACGAGTTATCGATTTCTTGAAACATATAAGAGCGAGTTCCATGCAGAGACCCATTAATAAAATATCAGGTCTCTAGCTTATACGCACAGACCGGCGGACGAACGGACGATTGGAAGGACAAATGTAAGGATCAAGTCTCGCTAAGGGCTACCAAGCCTCCATCTGCCTGTTACATATATTTTCACAAAAACAACGTAAATTATCATATTCCATGGATTCAGCGTATAACTTCCAATCTTTGGCATTTATTTAAATCAAGGACCCATTTAGCCATGAACAATTTAATAAAGACATCTATTTTTAATATGTGTACAGCATCGAGAAGCAATCCATATTAAATTCCCACATTTCCCACACCAAAGACTGACAAATTGAAATTGACCCGTTTTATTTTATGTGTATGATAACAAAAATTTACTATGGGTTAGTGTAGTAGGGATATTCTCGTAATTTCAAACTGTTTTGGTTTCCTCCTAGCAGCAGGGCCCACATCCACCACAGCAGCCGCCACAGGGTCCGCAGGAGTAGCATGGACCACAGCAGGAATAGCAGGGTCCGCAGCAGGAGTAGCATGGTCCGCAGCAGGAGTAGCAGGGTCCGCAGCAACCACCACAAGGTCCGCAACACATCTTGACAGTAACTGCAGGACAGATCTATCAAATATCCAATGCCAAAATTGCATTTAAATGTGGAATACTTACGATTGAGCGAAATTTGACAGAAACAAGAGTTAGGATATTGAGATAGGAATATTCACTATCTGGTTCTGATTCCAAGTTTTAGCCGACTTTTTATCTGGTTTTATTTTTTTGTTTACGAGAAATATTCCAACCTGTGATTTTATCAGAAATTAAATTAGTCGATCCATATATTTTTTTGCGGTTACACTTACAATACCCAAATTTTTACATATATTCACACAAATAAAATCAAAAGTTGTGAACAGGACGAGCCGTAAAAACGGAATGAGTGTTATTCGTTAGGGCTCTGATAACCAGGCCAAGATCGTTGACATTTACTACACAGAGCCTACTTTGAGTGTTATAAATTATGAAACACAGAGCCTACTTTGGGTTATATGAATATGAAGAGTATTTTTTATACGCTGAATGGTTTTGTTAATAGTATGTAAAAGTCAGCTTAGAGGGTTCAGGGTATCTCTAACTCGAGCAGTCCCGACTAGAGCCATTTTAGTTGTTTTCTTTATTGCAGCTTTCGTTCCTAACTTCATAGCGCAGTTTTAAATGTACCTTAACCATTGATGGAATAAATGGGAAAAACCTGCATCAGAGCGAATATATTATCTGGTCTTGTTCTTTCTCTAATTTGTCCTCCTGTCTTTCTATGACCACTGAAGTGTCTATGACCACAAAAATATTGTGATTAATACGCTAGTTCAATATTATTGATCGGGTATTACGTAGTGCGTTACGCCGTACAGAAAAGCTCAAGCGTCAACAAGCCCGTTTCCCTTTCTCCTATTAAAATATTAAAATGGAATTCGCAGGCAGCTAACCCATTATATCCTTGCTCTAATAATCAATCCAACACCTTTACCCAACCAAGAAAAATATGTTTTTAGACTTATCCTTTATTTAAGAGAGTAAAACAAAAATAGACAGGGTTTGTTGTTCCTTTCATGTTTTTTTTTTTTTTTTTTTTGGTTAGTTTAGTTTCTTCGGTTCTTTTTAGCAACAGGGCCCACATCCACCACAGCAGCCGCCACAGGGGCCACAGCACGAGTAGCATGGGCTACAGCAGGAATAGCAGGGTCCGCAGCAGGAGTAGCATGGTCCGCAGCAGGAGTAGCAGGGTCCACAGCATCCACCACAAGGTCCGCAACACATTTTGAAAGAGACTTTAGAACAGATCAGTGAAATATCCAAAATCCAACAGAATACATTTACTAGGAATACTTACGTTTATGAAGAACTTGGTAGAAATGAGATATGAGAATGTGTAACGACGGTCAATTGGTTTTCTTTAGATTTAACTATTTAGTTTGAATATCAAACTTGTGTAAGCCAATAGAGTCCTTGAATATTTCTAGAGTACAAAAACAAATGACCACAACCTGTAATTTAATAGAAACTCTAGTAAATCAGGATTTTACTATATAATATTTTTTCTAAAATTAAAAACTTACAATACCGAAAAATTACAAAAATTTTTACAAAAAAAGCCGAAAGTTGTTAACTGGACAAGTCTTAAAAACGGAATGAGGTATATTTGTCTCGGCTTTAGTAAGCAGCTCAAAATCGTTGACGTGAGTGTCAAAGTTTACTTTGATTGCCCTTTGTTGATACAGAGATTCAGATCTTCGATGTTTTGCTTCAATTTAAATGGAATAAATGCTGATATAACTTTCGGACGGCGAAACACTTTGAAAATTAAAGCATTTACACTTCAAACTTTGACTAACAGCTGTAACATAAGCCCAGGAAAGCCAGACGGGAACGTCCCTTTTATCTGGAGCCGAAGTAAGAGGAAATTGTAAAGGCGAAGAGCATCTTTCGGTTTCCAGTTTCCAGTTCATATATCAACAGTGCTTAAGCTCATCTAGCAGTATATTTGTCTTATAATAAATATCAACTTTATTAAAGAGACCACGACAATTAAATACCCCTTCTATCAATCTGTATAAGTAATGAATAAGTAAAAGTATATAAAATTATACTATGTACTATAATACATACATATTAATTATTAATTATATTAATTATTCATTTAAGTTGTTTTATCTCCCACTCATAATATTCACGAATAGTATCACATGATAAGCATTTATAATGTTAATCGCTGAAGGGGGAGGAAGTAAAATTAGAAACACATGAGAATGGTTAAACAGCAGCTGACCAGGATGATGTTCGTAGCTGAATATGTCCTAGGAAGATTTACGACTCGAATGCAGGAATCAGGGAACGCTAGCAAACAAGTAATATATGTACATATATACATATACATATACACATATATATATATTTATGTACGTGTGTAACAATGCGGAACAGGCAAGTGGAAGTGAAAATGGCACACACACACACACATTTATACATATATGTATATGTATATAAAGGGAATGTCCTTCAACTAGCTTTACGTCACTTGGCCGGCTGCCAAGCCTCGTGACGAGGACAACCCTGACACTTGAGTGGAGACAGACAGCCACTTGACTGTGACCCCCGCGTGTCGCCCGCGGCTCTTGCAACAAAGCGCCATCCATAGGCGACGCATACAATACGTACAGTGCCACACATAAACAATACTGTGTGTGTGTGTGTGTGTGTATATAGATATATATGTAGCGCCCTGACATTAATGTGCGTAACTTGGACAATTACGACAAAGAAAGCAAGCGGAAAAAAAAGAAATTGAGAAGCTACGACGACTTGTGGAAGCTTAAATACCCTAATACTGGACATGCGGTGGTGGAGGAGAGTTTAAAGAGAACTAGAAAAGTTTTGTTTAACGATTGTTGTAGATATCCATATTAATTAGTATAGTTAACAAACGAATATAATTATAATTGAATATTTGTTGTATATAGCTTGTCATCTGAAGTAACATTAGCATAACATAACATTAACATAAACTAGCAATAAGCTAACTTTTCAAAACCCGTAATATAATTCCACTAAATCAAACCCAAACAAATATGAATATATGTATACCTCTTTGATAGAGTATGACCGCTAGACAATCCAATTATTTGTTGAGTAAAAGTTATTGCATTGCAAATAAGATGAGAGCAATGTGGTAGAGTACTGGGGGATTCGACATGATTGTAGTTATTACGGACTTAAGCAGTCCATTACAATTGGTAATGCTGTTTGCATTGCATTCGTGGCAACAAAAGCGCAAATGCTGCTTTAAATGCACATGTAACTGAATACCAATGCAATGAAAAGTAATTAGAGGTGATGGAGCAAAGGTGTTTGGCTTAATTGAAAAACTTCAAAGTGAAGCAAGCGATATATTATTGGTTATTGAGAGCGGGAGCAAGGATTAAAGGACTCAAGAAATTATACAATGAATAAGACTTAATAACTGTAAAGTAAAGTAGAATGAGTTTTCCTTTTATATAATTAATTTCTTTTCTCTCTCTTTCTCTCTTTCTCTATCTTGAAGTCTCGCTATTTTAATAATACCTTGACTACGTAATTTTGCACGCTTTCAACTGTTCTTGGAATGATTTTTTAATTTTGGGATGCTTACGTAAGAAAAAAACGCCCTTCAACCAGTTTACACAGTCATTTTTTCTTGTGCTTTTACCTTTTTCTCCTGCACCCGTCTGCTTTAGGGTATGCAACAGCTTGTGTTAATCACAGCTGCCTAAAGTACTTAATGAGCCTAAGAATGCCCAAAAAAAAGCCAACAAACAAAAATGAGCTGGCCAAACTAGAAAATACCCTGTTGGCATTTTAGATTTATTTCTTTAATAAAATTAAAATATATAATTAAAAATATTCAAGTAATTATGCTCCTTTATTTGCATCTACATATACAAATGTATTGGTTAATTTATTTAAGAGTAATCAACTTTAATATATGTATATGTACATGTGTATCAATTACCCAAAACTTCTTACATTCATATTCATAAATAATCCATACAGTCAAACGATTCATTTCAACTCTTAAAGACTATCAAGCAGCTACATCGCTTTTCCTGTTAATTTTTTTTCCTTACTCATTTACAGGGTATGCAAAAAAGAGGAACTTCCTTTCACATAAACCAAAATCAATTTGTAATTATGTAAAAGCTGAGAAAAATACGAGTGGAAGGTGTGAACACGAAGCAGATAAATTTGGTAGCATAAGTTAAAAATATGTCAAGTGCGTTAAAATGAAATTTACATTTCGCAATTAACATATGTTGATATCTATACATACATACATATATGGTTATACATATATTTATTATAGTGCATTCATCATGTACAGCAGCAAAAATATGAATTGGCATTTAAATTGTTGTATTAATTCGTAAGGATTTACATGCGAATCGAACGAGCCGACAATTGCCATGGCTCAATGGCATTTGGGACGTGTTGGACCATAAAAATGCCAAAGCATACCATTCGAATTGGTTTTTCTTAAGAGAAGCCATAAAGAGAGCTACAATAAGACATTGAGAAATTATTATTGAATGAATCTCAGGTAGTAATACATATATAACAGTAGATGGTCTGTTGCTCATGACCGTTGCTCAGGGGTAGAGAGTTCTTTCAATAAACTAAAGTGGCGTAAACCACAAAAAAAAAAAAACATCTAGAATGAGGCGTACAAAGTAAATCAGGGATTAATGTAAATAATAAGTGGCTAGAGTTAAACAATTCATAAAAGGCCCTTAAATGTATTAAGTGGTTATCAAGAGTCTCAAGTTAAATTATTGATTTTAATTTGTGCCATAAAATATTGCAATTATTAATTTTACTAAAAAATATAGTTAAACCATGTAAATTATTTAATTTCCTACATTTAAGTGGGTTGATTAGATAAAATTTTAATTGCAATTCATTTTATAAAAAATATATGAAGAAAAATATGGTATAAGTACTTAAATCAATAGAGACAATATTAATAGGCCTGCATAGCTATGAAACCCAGCTCAGAAAGCACTTTGCAAATAAATGAAATTAAATTAATGATATATATATAAATCTCACAAAAGCTTAAAAATCCGCAAAAAAATGAATATTTGTAAATATCTGCAGGTGCATATTATTTAACTGAGGGCTCACAGAGTTTTTCGGTTTGAAAAAATACTGTACGGTGACCCATACAAAAATCCGATTTTAAATAAAATATTCGCATTACATGTGAATACAAATACAGATGCAATTAAAGCAGTCTCTGTGCACTGCGTACTCCCCAGCACTTTGTCGCCTTCGTTGGCGTTCATATTCTCTCTCTCTCTCTATTTTTTCTCTCACTCTCTCGCTCCCTCACTCTATAACACGCGCGCTCTCGCTCTGCTGAACTGTGAGTATTTTTGGGTTATTTTGTATTGCCTACTTTCGGGTTGGCGACTTAATTATACACATTTTCCACTTAATTTTTTCTCTCGCCCAGCATTGTTATATCCTTTACTGAAAGAAGCTCTTTAAAACAGGGTATATTGGTTAAATACCGATGTAGTTTAAACATTTTGTTTTTGAGTAAGATCTTGATAATTATAAATGCACCACTGATAGAATATTGATATCGATATCCATTTAAATTATAATCGATAAATATCAAAAAGTTTTTTCTCACTTTTAACTTTTGCAGGCTTACACAGTTTGCCTGCGAGGTATTTGCTAGTCGTTCACTTATTTGGCTCTTGTATTATTTGACGGCACGTGCTTGAATTTGACGCGAATGGGCTGTTGCTACTGTTTTCTTTATACCCAATTTTTTTTTTTGGTTTTTAACCATTTTATAATTATAGACGTCAGTCAGGCATTTAACTCGTTTGTTGTTGTTGTCAGCCTTTCAATTTGTGTGGATCGCACGTAGAAAAGCCCGCAACAGCACTTATTGCCAGCAGTCTATCTATGTGTGTGTTGGTCCTCTGCAGTGTTGCCAGTTTGGCCTAATTCAGGCTAGTTTTAGCTTTTTTGAAACTGGCCTAGGTCATTGATAATAGATCCATTAAATATGAGCACTAGATGCAATGGCCGTGTCTGTATATCTGTCTCCTTGTCTATCGCAGAGTCTAGCTCTCGATCTATTTGCTTAAGAAGATGAAAAGGAACTATCGTAAATAATTTAAGTTGTCTATATGCAGAAGTATTCATTTGGTATTTGTATTTAGGTAAAACCAATATAGAATGCTAGAAGAAGCAGAGAGTGTTTCCATTGGTCACTTAAAGTTCTACTACGACGACCCTAACTGGCACCGGGCTCAACATTTGAGCACGAATTATTGTTGGAATGCAAGTCGCCCTATATAAGGTGCAGCAGCTGCAGCATTTCTTCAGTCGCGCTAGTAAAGTGAAGTGAAGTGTAAAGTGAAGACTTAGAGGACACCTCTTCTAGGAAATATTTTAAGGAATTATTTAGAGGAAATACCTAGAGAAAATCTGCTGAAGAAATACTTGGTATA